CCATCTCGACCTCTCTCAACCAGAGCAGGAGGTCCCCTCCATCCTTTCCCTCGAAGACCTTAACGCTCACCATGAGCGGCTTAGGCCGGGGAAAATCATCCGTCACTGACGGTGGCGTCATAGACGCAAATGAAGCAGACATATTTTGCTGCAGGTGCTCTAGTAGCGCATTTTCGTAATTTGAAAAATGCCTCTAGATGCGCACCGATTGCCTCGGGGCCTTGCGCAGCAAGGTGTTGCACGCCCTCAGGGTGAAGCAAGGACATCAGCGCATTAAGCCCGTCTTGCATACCCTGGGGCAGAAAGGAAAACTTTTCCTTCTCACCGAGGTTCAGTCTAAACGACTCAGGTGTAGATTGACTACAAGTTCTACCAAGCGCAGCGGGGCTGCCGTAGCTTTGCGCTTAGAGGAAGCGTAGGTTAGGTCACCGACCTTTCGTTCTATACTTAGAACAAGTACGAGTTTAGCGCATCGCAATCCGCTTACTCCAAGAGTAATTACAACCTTAACCCAAGGGTAATAGACTCTTCCGTTTAAATTCAAAAATTGACTTTTTTTATCTGCGGCAAAGCCGCCTTATTTTGAATGTTTTGAATGTCCTAAATATATATAGCAAAATGTATAAACTACTGGCTATTGTTTGGATGTGGTGTGACACACAACCATGTTACCAGGATATGTATAATCCCGTTACATACACTCATACTGGTTCTAGTATCGAACGTGAGGTCGGTGACCATAGCTTTGCTTCCTCTAAGCAAAGCGCTACGGCAGTTCCACTGCAAAGCTTATATAGCACCTCGACTTTTTCAAGCTAGGAACTGTGCGCTATACATTTCTATCATTGATTTGAAAGAAAGTAACGCTAAGAAGCCGGTGGAGTATCAATCAATGAAATTAAGTGTTGTGGAGTTCTTAAACTATGCTGTTTGGATTCGGTATAACCAATAGTGAGAGATTTGGTCCGTGAGCCATTTTTATGCGCTTGGAGCAAAGCCGCGGCTAACATTTCGCTGCTATACATCGACACCATCTATCACTGCACTTCTGATAGCTGCCATCGTTCATACATCGCTACGATTTGCAGTAAATACAAATTTCGGTTGGTCACTACACTATATCATATGCAATATAAAAAATGATCGCGTAGTGGGGGCGTTGCTTGGGAAAGGCAAGGCTGAGAATTAAAACCACGTCCAATGGATTATTGTTCCCCTCGCTAAACTACTGAGCTACTGCTGCACCGGCTAAGTGTCGCAAATCACAAGTATCAATACGTAAAACATGAAACATACACTCGTGAGTCATAGCACATCACACTTCAACATCAATAAATAAGAAATAGAGACGAAGTAGACGTCATTGATCCGCTGACTAATCTTTGAGCGCGTTAAGCTGACACGCATGACAATGGGTGTTATAAACCAAAAAAACTCTTCTAGAAGCTTGTACAGTTGGTGTACTAGCATTAAAGGTATTACTGTAGCGGCTTCGAGAAGCAGATGAAGACAAATTATTCCCGAAGTGATGATCTTCTTGCATCGGCATATTTTACGTAGGATGTTCGTCCACATCGTCGAGATGGAGGTCTGAAGATTGAGACATAATGTTTTGTTTGTGATGCTGCTGCTCGCTGCTTTTGATGCGAACGAAATGGGGAGCTTTGAAGTCTGGCCGGTCAGGTTTTACCAAACTATCGGCCGGATTGATATTTGGTGCCCCAATCAAAGTTGGTGTCGAAATCATTTCCGTTTTCTGTATCTGCGTCAAAGTCAATAGTTCGACATCGTCTACGTCTTGACTGGGTTTATATTCTTCTACATCGTTAAAGTTCGAATGGCGATCAGCTGATACAGGTTGCAACACTTCACTCGACTGTTTAACATCCAGAGCGATGATGAGCGTGAGCACATTAAAGTTTGAAGCCAACGACGATGTTGGTGCCAGATTTTATAACAAAGAATGCGTGCCACTTACGCTAACCCATGTCATTGCAGGAGAAGAAGCCACTGTCTTTGTGTCTTTTGGGTTGGCCGATAACTTTGGTAATGTACGCCAGCTTTCAAAATTGAGAAATCTTGCTCGACCCTCATGTGAAGATGGCGACTTTTTCTCTAAAGCATAGGCATCCTGAACTTTTTCGGTATGTTGCTGTCTAACTTCCGGGCTTTGCTGCAAAAGAGTCTTGTCGCTGGTGAGCTCACTTGATTGTGTATCAGTCGTGATAACCACCTGTGGCGGCACTATAAACATTTCTTTTTTGATGCGCTGTCGCTTCTTCTTCAGCTTCACCGTAGTGGCTGCTCGATTATCGTCGCTCGCCTCTTTTTGAGCTGACTGCGGCACGCCTACCGTGCCTGATTTCTGATGCAAATGTGCGCTAGGCTCCTCAAAAATCTCCACATCTGTACATTTCGGTTCGACTCGGGGCGGTAGCGGCGGCTTCGAGCTTCGCATTCCCATTTTGAAGCTTGATGTAGCCATGTCGGACTATTTTGACCAAAACTTATTCTAACCAATCGCCAGAGTTGTTTAAAGTTCAGTCCATAACATTGCCCTGACGTAGCGTTGCCATGGGCGACCTCCAGCAAAATAAGGTTGCCTTCTCCCTAAGCAGCGCTGAGAGTAAGGTTATTTTCTGTATCGCTGGTACGAGCTGATATTCTTGTATGAGAAAGTGTCACACGATTAATATCACACTCATGCAGGCTGGTATGTGATCAGTCTTGTGACGTTGTGGACAAACCGCTACGTGGTGACCAAGCTGCGTGTTGACTCCAATTATCTGTCGCTGGCGCAACTAAGTATGTCCGTTGCAGGCGGTCTGGGATCTGAGCTCTATCTCGTGGGCTGGGCTGTGTGTAAGCGCAACATGCTCAAGGTAGTTGACGATGGACTAAAGGACATGGTGCTGCTCTCTGGCGTGCGCATCCTCACCGTGCTATTGGGGCTTACAGCACTGAAATATATCGCCGTCTCCTTCACACGTACGTCTACTGATGAGAAGGATGATGATTGACTCGACGTATCGCTTACTATAAATTTCTGATCTAGAAACTATCAAATCCTCAGCGCCATTCTTTACAGTCATCCTGACGTACTTTATGCTTGGACAACGTACGGGCTGGAGAGTGAACTTCTCGCTTTTTCCGATCGTCTTGGGGCTCATTTTTTGTAGTTTGTCGGACAGCTCGTTTCACGTTATTGGATTTGTTGCAGCTCTCATGTCAAATTGCGTTGATTGCATCCAAAACGTTTTGACTAAGAGGCTTCTCAACCGATCTTACTCGTAAGTCTGATCCTAAACGACAATTTTTTCTCTAATTTTGATTTTGCTTTTCTTGTAGAACATCCCAACTTCAACTCTATACAAGCATTATCGCTGTAAATATGCAACTCTTGTTTATCTTCTACAACTGGATGGCGTCGATATCTGACAGCACCAACAAGGCGCGTGAACTTTCAACTTCGTATGTTTTCTTGCTGCTTGTTCTAGATGGAATGTGCTTCTACATCCAAAGTGCATTTGCTTATATGCTCATGAGTTTGGTCACACCGGTAACACACAGCGTGGCTAACTGCGCGAAGCGTGCACTGATCATATTGTTGTCTATATACCGCTATGGAGAGGAGGTGACGCCGCTCAATTGGTGTGGAATGGTGCTAGTGATCGTCGGTGTATATGTGTTCAATGGAGCCTCTCGGGTGGAACGTGAGAAGGCCAACAAAAATTCAATAGTAGCTATTGCCAAGTCAGCATTGGTTCGCACGAGCACGATAGACATTTTATCAGAGGTCCGAATTGTGAAGGCAAGATAAAGATGCGGCCAAATATATGTAAAAAAAACATTTTCCATTGGTCGAAAATTCATATTTTAAGCTAATCTGACCAACTTTTCAAGGGTGTGCACACAACAAAACTACAGCTGGAAGAATGGCGACTGCGACGGACTACGCGAAAGAGCTTCTTCGGAGGCAGTTTCTAGGTTTGTGACGTTAAGTATTATTCGATACGCAAACTGTTGTTTTTGTATTCAATTATGACCTTCAAAATCAAAGGGATCTCGCGCTGATTGACCGGTATGCTCTATCTTTGTGGCAACTAGAAATGAGCCGCAATCCGCCTGAGGGAGTATCTGTGGGCCTAGGGGGCGATGATAACATTTTTAATTGGGATATCTTGCTGGTGGGCCCGCCCGATACCTTTTATGAGGGTGGATTTTTCAAAGCAACGCTGGAATTTCCGATTGACTTTCCTAATATGCCGCCTAAGATGACTTTTAAGTCGGAGATGTGGCATCCTAATGGTTTGTCGGATATCATTGGTAGGTGGTCGTTTAAATGATGGTGATGTTTTCTGTATTTTTTAAGTTTACCCAAACGGCGTGGTCTGCATATCGATCTTGCACCCGCCTGGAGAGGATCATTTAAATCAGCAGGAGACGGCTGACGAAAGGTGGCGTCCAATTCTTGGCGTGGAGTCTATCCTAGTGTCGGTCATCTCTATGCTTTCGGATCCGAATTATGATTCGCCCGCCAATATTGATGCTGCGGTACGTTGTGACTTAAAAATGTTGATAGATGGATGATCAGAACTGATGATGGTTGGTTATCACTCGGTGGATTTATTAGGTAGAATGGCGAAGTGACAAGGAAGGCTTCAAAAAGCATTGCCGTCGTATTGTACGGAAGTCGCAAGAAGATATCTAGACACTGGCAATAGCTGCGCTGCTTCTTGTATTGCCTCACTCTCTGCATATCATGTTGCCTGAATACAGTAGAAAAGCCAACTTCACTCGTAGCAACATATGCACGTTGTTTCTGGCGGTTTAAAGGCGTTAGGCTAAATAATACCACTATATTAATTCGTGTCAGCCACAGTACTGTGCTTGCAGGAAATATATTGTTTCCCGATCCCGAAATTAGCTCTCCTCTATCTTTCAATTTTCCAGATGGTCCTCGCTTCTCATCGCGCGCTTGCCTTGTCCACACGCGTGGCTAATCGATCGTTGAGAATGTTACACCAGCAGCAGAAATCCTTGAAGCACACGCACACGCTGGTGCTGATTCGCCATGGCGAGAGCGAATGGAACAAGCAAAATCTTTTTACTGGCTGGTACGACGTTCAGCTCTCTGCTAAGGGTAATGAGGAGGCGGCCGCTGCAGGTCAGTTGCTCAAGAAGGAGGGCTACACTTTTGATGTCGCCTACACTTCGTACCTTAAGCGCGCCATCCGCACGCTGTGGCATGTGCTCGAGCAGACCGACCAGATGTGGATTCCTGTGTTCAAAACATGGCGACTAAATGAACGCCACTATGGCGCTCTGACCGGTCTAGACAAGCAAGCCACTGTTGACAAACACGGCGCTGAAAAAGTTTTGGAGTGGCGTCGTAGTTATAACATTCCTCCTCCCAACCTTGACACGACCAGCGAGTACTACCCGGGTAATGATGTGAAGTACAAAGACGTTCCCAAGAAAGACTTACCACTTGCTGAGTCTTTGGAGCTCACCGCTGCTCGTGTTTTACCAGAGTGGGAACACAGAATTGTGCCTAACATCAAGTCAGGCAAGAATGTGGTGATCGCCGCCCATGGCAACAGTCTACGTGCCCTCGTTAAGCATTTGGACAATATTTCGGAGGACGAGATCACGGGTCTAAACATTCCTACTGGCGTTCCGCTCGTCTACCATTTGGACGAAAATCTCACGCCAATTACTCACAAGGACGCCATTGCGCCCCTTAACGCGTTCTATTTGGGAGACCAAGAAGAGATTCGCGCTCGAATTCTCGGCGTGAAGAACCAGACTAAATAATGTGTCTAGTGAACGCATTCTGCTACCGTCAAACACGCAATTAAATGAACTTGGTAACTCTAGACTCGTCCTAATTTTGTAATTATGGTGTCCAGTTCATGCTCCGTAAAAAATGCTGTAGTTCACTAAGGGCTCAAAGGCCAAAAACCGATTTGTTTTCTAATATGCGATAGCCAACCCGGATCCACGTGTCTACGGCATTTGCAGACAAAGCGACCTATGGCAAGATCTTTTTGGTCGTTTCATTCGGTTCCACGCCCGCTGTCTTCATGAGTGCTACCACCTTCTCAACCTGTCGCATATTTAGCCTTCACACATCAAAATAATAAAAAATCTAGCAGCTAGAAGAGTACCTTGTCCTGCATTGCGTTGTCTTTTAGCTTAAATAAAAGGTTATTACACGTCACACGCTGCAGTTTCTGCGACTCCCTGAAACAACAATTGGGAATTTAGCATACTGACCAATCTGACGTCATGTGAAGCTATACTTACGCCGCTGTCTTGAAGAAAGATACGGCTTTCTCATAGTCGCCCTCCTCAATGGCTGCTCGAACGAGGATGTCGTATGTGCGTTCCGTGCTCCTGACGTTGTATTTGTTGTGACCAATCTCATACAGCGTATAAACCTTGTCAAATTCTCTGTCCGTCAAAAACTTGGACAGTAGTTTGTTAAGTGTAGATGGTTCTAGAAATAGTCCGATACGGTAGTTTGCCTCCAGCACGTCGAAGGCGATTTCAGGTACATTAAATTCTAGGGCCTTTTTTACGAACAAACCAGCAGCGTTAGCGTCCGGATCGACGCGCTTTTGCTCATAAATTCTCATAATTTCTTTAGACGCCTTCAGCTCTTCACTATTTTTCACTGCTTTGAGAAAAGATGCCAGCTTGGAACGTTTGACCAAGGCGTCCTTTTTCGCCGACGATCGGATATTCTCCATCCATTCCTCAGCTGATAATGATTGCACAGTTGAAGATGAAAACTGCACGCACTTTGAGTGTACTGTCATTTGGCGCAAGTTTTGGCGCTGGCCAATTGACATGACCGCGCGTAACGCCTGCATCGTTCCTGCCATCTATTTGACTACGCTCAATTACTTACTTGCAAGCATAGCCAGACAAAAACCGAACACCGGTAAATTATCGGTGTCTGCTTCTATCTGACTGTTATTAAAAAATGCTGGCCGTACGCTCGCCGGCGTTGCGCACATCTCGGGTGGCTGCGTTGGCCATTAAAAAGAAGATGATGCGCTCCTTTAGTGGAAATTGGGAGTACCCTAAAGTGGAAGGAAGCGTAGCTGATATCACCAAGTCGCTCTTGACAATAGGTGCACGGCTGTCGATTCCCACGGCTCCACTTTACTTCACGCCGCTGAAGGTGAATCATATTGTGCGTGAGATGAAGGGTAAAGATGATCTGTTACAGGTGCATAAGACGCTGCTCTTGTGCGATGCCAAGATGGCTTACCCATCTACGTTGGCAGCCGGAAGCTTTATTTCAGCTTGTATAAAGCTGGATGCGGCTGACATGGCCCTACAGTTCTTACGCGAGGCTGAAAATATTCGTCACTACGTCAAGAACCAGAGTTTTGTACGTCTAGCCGAGTATTATGCTGAGCACGAGGACCAGAAGAGTGTGGACGAGATCGTCCAGATCATGGCTGCTAAGCGCGTTCCTTTATCTTACAAAATGTACACGTTCCGCGTGCTGAATGCAAAGAAGCAAGGCAAATGGGATGAGGCCGTTGATCTTGCTAAGGAGGCAGCCAATGAAATTCAGATTAATTCGCATCTCATTATCGAGCTGTTGCATGACCATAATGGAAACATCAACAAGAACCACGTACGTGTAGAGATAAGTTTAAATCTTGTCGGGTCTTTATTTTAAGGTTCATTTTGTGCAAACACATCAGATTCCACTGGCTAAGTACTTAGCAGACAAGGGCGACGTGTACGTCAACGCACGACTTGCTGACATTTTAGTCGGAGGAGATGGAAAATTGCCGGAGTCTAAGGTAAATGAGCTAAAGCAAGACAATATAGAGGCCGATCGTGAGGTTAAAACGGAGGAATAATTCATCAGTAACGTGATGCTGAAACTCGGACTTCATTCCTGTAATATTAAGTCGGGAAAACGGATATTTTGCGAGATTTTTCATGTCTAGTTATGTTCTTTTACAATAAAGCAGCGATCGCACTTCAAATATCGTTTTTGCTGTCGATGAGCGGTGCTTCATAGAAAAAGTCGTCACTAGAGCTCAGCAGTACACGGCGCCGCAACTCCGTCGAAAGGAGAGCTAGCAGAGCTCCGAAACCAACAAGTGTTACAATTGCGCCAAAAAAACTCATAAGTCGCTGACCAAAGCTTCGGTGTTGTTTTCCTTCGTTCGCACTAGCCTTAATCTCGGTAGTGTCTGGATTAGTATGCATGAAACTGTCATGGAGTTCTTCAACTATCGCTTCGCCACTCTCGCCTGCGTTTTGACGTTTTTGATGCTTCTTTTTTAATCCTGGGTACAATGCCCAGACAGAGTTGACATCAGTTATGGTCATTCGGTCGCGTTGGCCCATTTCCTTCATCAAATCAAGTCGTTCGTCTTTATCTGCTACAAGCGGAACTACACTGGGGCACCAGTGTGGCTTGCTCTCGTCCATGTCCGAGTGTACAAAAGCATCAATTGGGTGTTGCATAATACTGAAGAGATCGTAGGATGGAGGCTCAAGTATATGGTCTTCCTCTCGATGAGAAATAGGTGTCATGCTCATTTCTTCGACCACAAAATAGCTTCGCTTCGACTCTGGTATGCACTCCCAAGCGATACGTACATGCTCATCACGGTCGACCCTGTCAATTGCGTGTCGAAGTCCTACTGCATGGAGCAAAACGTGAACAATATTTCCCAGCCCACAATCCGCAGATATGCCAAGTCGCTGCGGTCCGCCAATCCGCCCTACAAACGAGTAGCAAGAAGATTCGACACTTTGTACGACGACGTAGTCGTGATTCCGGCAGCTCTTATCTGTGCGGCAATTATTGCCTCCGCACTGTTGAAATTCAAAGCCCGTCGCATGAGTAATATGCTCTGTGGCAGCTTTAAAGGTTCGCAGAAAAGGATAAGCGCTCTTTTCAACTTGGTAACACATGGTCTCATGGTGCCACCGATGGTCTCTTCCTGAGTTATAATATCCGTGGAGAACGTGCTCAACGCGTGTTGTAATCTCCTCTGGATCATCAGGATCAAAGACTTGCCAGACATAGCGTTCACCAATGGCAATATCTCCCTGGATAACCATCACGTTGTCGTCGACAAGCTCGTAATGGTACTCTATACCTTTGTATAGTACTCCTTCTGGGTTTGACTTCGAAATTGTCTCCTCAACGGGAAGCCGGCACTTTCCGCTTAAAGGATGAAGTACGTAAGGAGCTCGACAAGCTGCTGCAGCTTCATCAAAAAGAATTTTGTTCGCTGGTGTTGCCACACAGTGAAATCCATCCCCCGCACCTTGTGAAACTTCTTTTAGAGTAAGCGAGGTCTTTTCAAGACCAAATAAACACGTGCAGTCATTAGCGGACGTCACCGGCCAAGTGGTAGCGATTGAGTCGTGAGGACACTGAGAGAAATCTGGACTTGCATTGTCAAATGGTCTTCTGTTGCACTCGCGTTTGCTTGTCCTTATGATTTGTGATGAGTCGCTGTTCGCATTGTATTTAGTTTTGCGTCTTGCCTCGTTCTGTTCATCGCGGACTGTTTCATTAAGTCCGTACAAGCACTCGCAATTGGCATTGCTCTGCAGTGGCCATTGCTTGAGAATAGCGAAGGGTGGACATGCGTTTGAATTTGCCAGAATCCAAGGTACACAACGCTGAGCGACTGCATCAAGAAAGTAACCACGTGCACACGCACAGTCGTCGAAACTTGTCTCGATCTCTGAACCCTGCAGCTGAAAGCGCTTGTAAGCGTGCTCGGGGCATTTGTAGGCAGATGTCCGCACGCAATTCATTTCAGGTACCTTCCAGCCATATCCAGGGATACACTGACACTGGTCAACTGAATGTGCGATAGTGGCCACTGCAAGCGAAAATGGTGGACACTGATACGGTGTGACTGCCGTATTCACTACTTCTAAGTTGGCGTCCTCAATTTCTTCGTAAAGGTTACTGCTTCTCTTGGCCTTACGTCTTTTAATTTGTGATACTGACCAGCAAGCGTGTGCTTCTTCGTCCCTTTCGTATTGCTCCGATGAAAGACACTCGCAGTCAAAAAATCCTCGAGGACGCTCTAAAATTGGAAGATCCGATCGCTTAACAGAGTTCACGGGACACACATATGCCGCAAACTCCCGCTCACACAGCTGACGGCTATCTCGAACGAAGCCCCAGCTGCAGTGACAATCAGCAAACGACTGGGGCTCAATATCAGGCGTTGGCGTTGAACTTGGTGGGCATTCATATTTGATACGGACCTGAGCATTGCTTTTGCCGTTTCCACGTACACATTGTCCCGATGTGTCTACTTTAACAAAGGGTGCGGTGCACGTGCAGTCGTCGAGTGAGCTTACTTTTCCCACACCAACCCAAGGTTCATAATTTCCAGCACGCGGGCAGCTTGTCAGAATGCACTCTTGACTTCTGGGATCTTTCTCGTAGGGGGGGTAGCAATCGCAGTCTGCCACGGACCTAGGAGCACTTGCACTGTTGCGTCTATATTTGTAGCGTCCTTTGCAAAGAAATTTTCTTGTCTCCATGGGGTCTGCTGCGGCTTCTTCAGCTGAGACGTCGACTTCTTCACCACACAAGCAATCGTTAATCATCTCCATGTCTCGAGGAAGCACCATGGCAGAGCAGCCCTTAGGACACACGTAGAATGCCGCCTGGATTGAAGGTAGAGCTCCATAATGCACCAGGCCGAGCCAGCCGAGCGCAACGGATAGCAATCGGGCGTTAATCATTTTATCCGACAATGTAATGGTAGAGTGGCAGATAGATGCGTGTTAGATTCGGATGATCCGAAAACAAAAGTGAGATCTTTTGACACACATATCTGCATCTGGAATATCTTTGCGCCCTTTCAAGATATTTTGAATAAGCCAATCAGACAAAATTTGTATTAGGTCCTTGTATTGTGATATATTTCGACTCTTAAATCTTCGAAAAGCCGCCGTAAATGACGTTACGTGTAAGGCAGAGATCAACCATTTCCAGCAGTGCAGTCTCCAAAGACCGCTTGAAAATTGCAGCATCTGTCTCTGGGTCCACGTGGTAGCACGTAATGCTCACATTAATTCGGTCCGGCTGCAGTGCGTAGCACACACCATAGCCTTCATTATACATTGCAGAGAATCCGCCCCAGATGGGGCTGGCACCAGGACCGCCGCTGATGTTGCTCGTGGAGATTAAAAACTTTTTGCTGATTTCAAAAGCTCGGTCAGTGAAAAGTGAAGGCTTCGGCGTGATACCCGACATTTCAGCTACGATCTGCAGACCCATCAAGTGGCGGTCTATTCCTTCTCCAGTTAAACTGTTCTTCAATATCTCCTTATGAGCCTCGATAGCGGTTCGCAATGCATCCCACTTAACTCCATTCGACACGCTCGACTCCATCGCTTTCACAAAAGCAAGTGACTCGTTCGTCAACGACCGGATTGTTTCCGTCCGTCCATGGTAGAACATTCGCGTGTGCGCCGTTTCGTAAACTGCAGGAACTCTTTTGTGCATCTTATAATGCGCCAATTGTATTGCCATTTGCATGAAAAAGTCGGGCGTCAGCTTGTACCGCTTCAAGAAAGCCGTGCCATAGTGGTTGAACTGCAACGTCACAATATCGCTGTTTAAAATCAGCTTTCCAACTGCTGCGCTGGCACACTCGATGGTAGTGTAGGCGGCATTGTCTAAGACCCATTCCAGTCGTTTTGGCTTGAGATTAAGCGTAGGCTTTAACTTAGTGCGATCGGCGAACTTAGCCTTAAAATTTTCATTTACGTACTTGATGCAATAATCAAATAAACGAACCACTACCAGCGCATCTGCCCAGGCATGTTGGCCATTTACACCACCACGAGCGTTTTCATGAATGATAAGTGTAAACGGCTTGTCGTACCAACGATTTCGTCCGTCCCCAAGCAAGCAATTACGTGCGATTTCATCGTACGTCGAAGCAGAGCTCTCATCCAGCGCAACACAGAAGAGCGCACGCTCGATCAAGTCGAATGATTGCCTATTGATGTCGTCCAATGATATGATATGGGCCCGGGCCTTTTCAAAAGTAGCGACACACGCAGTAAGCATTCAGAATCAGTGCTTAAAGTCCACAACAAGAATGTACCTTGGCCCAATTGGTGCGATTCTCCGATGTTAAGACGCTAACCGGTGGATAGCGCTCCAAGTCAAACAGACCCGTGGCTTCTTCTCTAACGAGCTCAAATTGTCTAAAGCGGCAATGTCAAACTAATAACAAGTTTTACCACTTGACTAAATCCGCTTTCATACCTCAAAATATCTGCGAGCGAGACGTCATCCCCAGCGCTAGTGAATACTTGCACTGCCCACATGCAGTTGTTCCTTAGCACTATTATGTGTTTGGCATCGTGTGGGTACGAGACCATTTCGTCACAATCTTCGCCAGGAATGACACATGTGTTAAACATACGTGAATATGTGTACATACACAACGGCCTTCCCAACATCTTTTCAGGTGGGTATTTCTCACTATTACGAGAATCATACATAATTTAGAAAAATGTCATCAACATAACCATAATTGCTACGTACTCAAGTAGATTTTTGCGAAATTTGAGAATTGCATACGTGAAGATGGAGGCGGCTTCACATTGACTCATGTCTCGAGACCCCCAATTACCGGGTAACACGCCATACCAATTGATATTGATAGCAGATGGATATCGCGGCTGCATGTATGCAAATGTCTCCCACCATTCTTCAATCCAGTTGCGCTCCGCATCCGCACGCTCTTGTAAAATTGCTTGCAGTTGAGGACCCACGCCTCGCAGAAAGTCGTGACAAACAGCCTTCGTATGGTCCAGCTCACTAGCAGTTAAAAGTGGCTCACAGCTCTTAACATATCGCTCCAGTGTCTGCTCAAGTGAGGGAAGTGGCAGTGGTGGCAGTCCTTCCTGGAACTGCATCGTGCGCTCCGTTTCCTGTTGTTTCGACATAATGTGCCAAGTACGAGGAAAAAAGTAAAATAGTTCAACAGGCGTCTGTTGAAGCGACAACAGCAAGAAAACCCGCAGAAACAAATTAATAAGTATACTCGTATGTGACCCGCGGGTTTGTTCAATTTCTCACGTCAAACGTCGTACAATTTTTACAAAATTACGCGTCTATTTGTGATGGCGCAGCTTCCAAAACATCAAATCCAAGATGATTCGATTAACAAACATTAAGGATAATTGAGTAGATTCAAGCACATGCTGTCGTAGTCTTTATCACAATTTAGTGTGATGTTACCGATCGTTTTAACACATATCATGTAATGATACTGGACTTGATTATGGCCGACTTTGACAGCATATATAATAGTAGTCACTCGAGGCAGTACTCTCATAAAATCTCGTCTTCAATGTTAAAAATGCACTCAAAACGAGCTGCAGATGACCTATACGTGACCGGCACGAACTTGACTTGTTCTTGGATAATTGCTATCCTATTAAATAAGCAACTCCCAGGTTGGATATTGTTATTAGCAATCTACGCCCCTTTCTTGGATGCAGTCTAGATTGCGCGGTCCCTGAGTCCAGAGATTGGGAATTGTAGATTGCAGTAAAAAAATCGCACATTTCTTCTGGCTTCCTGCTAGATCATCTAGACAAAAGTATTTAAGATAGATCGTACGATCTTTGCTCAGTTATCTGCTGCACAGCCCACGAAATCTAGGTCTCAAAAGCCGTATGATTCGGCTGCTTTCCTTCCAGCTGCAGCACGTATAATACGTTACTGATCCATTTTTGACCAGAACTTGGTCGCAGCACCCTACTTCTACGAAGCCATCAACGAGCCGAAGACGATTGGCGAGGCAAGTTAATTCCGTAAAAAGAACATATTTTGGAGACAGAAAATTAGATTGAAACAGAAGCAAGTTTGACAAAGTCAAAACGCTGGCATGAAGCGCAAAGTGTCGAGCACATCTGCAACATCCTAATGTATAGAGCAATAATGCATATCTCATCATGTGCAGTAATGTAACAGTAATGAGTGCATACACTGATCAAATGACCAGCCAATAAAAGTGAACAGAATATGTACTGTAGAATAGTGTAAATACACAATATACAGCTTCAAAGTACACTCTCAGATTTCGCGTACTGAGGTTGAGTTCACGTGCTCCTACAAGGAGTGGAACCGAGAGGCTCCAATATAACCAAGTCTAACAGTTTGTTTAACTACTTCAAAAGTCCATATTCAGGACTAATCCATAGTTGGACAGCCGAATACCGATATTTCAAAATTTATGATGTTCACAATTACACCAAGTGTAATGTGCATTTCGTTACAAATGTTCCAAAATTCCAGTTCTTTTCCTCCCCCACTAAAATATAGATCACACTATGTCCAAAACTGACTAATTCAGGATTTACCACTATTTCTGAAGTTACGCTTCACTCTCCTCATTCTACAGCCCCTGCTCTTTTGAGCACACTTGTACCGGGAGTTGGCTCTTGCGCCACCAAACTATATCGCTCAGAGAGCACCCGCCAGGCAACGGTTGAGCGCTTGGCTCCATTGGAAATGGAGGTTGTTGCACTCCGTGCTCAGAACCAGTTGC